GTCGTTATTAATAATAAAAGCTTTGTACAAAATTCAATTTACAATTAAAAACGTTTTGGTTACGTAATTTTCTAGAGATTCTGATTTGTAATTGAACTATCTATCGACAGAGAGGCAATCGAAAGTTAGCTTCTTTTAACGCACTCTCTTTTGTTTCCCCTTTGCTTCCGTTTATACAAACACTCACTCTTTTTTTCTTCCACGCGTTGTCTTTCGTTCTCACTTTTTTCCCTCCCTAACGACATTCTCTCAATTTTTCATTCGTTCTTTCAATCTTTCTTATTCATAATATCGCATTCAATTCCCACTTTCATACATCAGACTCCATTTGGTATGCGGCAATGCATGGTCGTTAATTAGTAGTATCTTTGTGTTTTTCTTTTCATTTGTCACGATTATTGGTTAAACACAAAGTACAATCTATTTTATTTCGTGGTTTGTCCGCCTGTCAACAATTACACGAATAGAAGAACATTAAAAAAGAAAAAGAAGGAATTATTGTTATGTCAATAAGTATCGAATCTACGGTAGGTATCATCGCGACATGACTTTATTCACTCACCGTATTGTATAAGAATTTAAAGAATAAAAAGAAGCCGAGCAAGGAAAAGGGTCTCGGTATTTTTTGCATCGAAGGATGCAATTTCAATTGGTCGAAAGAGCATCCTATATTCCAATTATTCGAGGAATCTCAGAGTCGCTAACGTACGGTTGAAGGCGGATCTAGGAAACCAGTTGCTCTCGTAAAGCCCCAAGTGATGGTATGGTTAAGGAGTGCGTGAGAGAGGTGCACATACTGCACTACGAAGGGAGAGGGTGTGGGTCAGACGAGAGCTGCCGCTGCATGGTAGAGCTGCATGAGCGCTTGTACGTGTACTGGCAAGCAGGATAGTCGATCCTTCGTATTCGCATCCACGGCGAGCCACGATAATGCATTGTACCCTTCCAGCACGTATCTGAAAATCGGATAACTTGGTTATATGTTAAATTTCATTCTAAAAACAATTTAAGTGTTAGCCTTCCGATGACCGTGTCGAAGTCACTTGTGATTCGCATTATTCAGTGGTGGGTGGACGTCTCGAATAACATCGTTGAGTCAAACATAACTCTAGCGTAGTCGCCTGACGTGCAGTCATCAGAAGGCTAAGTCGTTAGCGTATTTTTGGAATAGAGTTTAAAAAATTAATATATAAACCTGAGCACATCGGTGGTGTACTGCGAGTCTAGCGGGTGAGCAGTAAGCGCGCTTTGTTGTTGTAACAAATCGTCACTGTTCTGCTGTATTGCTGGACTATGCAAATGTAAGGCATTCTTCAAGAACACTGGACAAACGCCTTCGAGATGGGGGCAAGCTGACCAAAACCACGGTGGCATACGTCCGGTTGGCGCAGTTGATACTAAGTAACCAAGAGCAAGTGGTTGCTGTAACAGCGTCCCAACTTCCTCTGCCTGTTCAGCAACTGCTACCTGTTTATTCACAATTTCCAAGTTAGGATAATTCTTATAATTTAATAATTAATGCTAAAATTTGAAAAACCTATTTGAATTTAGTTTTGAAAAGTGTATTATGATTCATATCTTTTTCTATTTGATTTCCACTTACTCTGGGTGTGTTACTACATGGGAATGGGCTCCCTGGACCGTCATGATTGCCTAAACCTGAGCCACCGCCATCTCCACCTAAGGGGGATCCTTCAGGACGATGTGGACTACCACTGGGGCTTTGTCCTCCACCAGCACCAGCTTCTGGCCATACATTGAAAATATCGTTGAAATCTCCCATACCTTCCATACCTTCTGGCATGTCATCATTTAAAGCGGAAAACAATTCATCATCCCCTAAATCTGGTCCATTAATATGCTGCTCTTGAAATGCAGTTTGTGATGACTGTAGCAGAAAAATATTAACCTTTAAGACCTCGTTAAGATAAAGCATTAATTTTTATTTATTATTTATGGATTAAATTTCACTTCGTCGAGTTGGTCATTGATCGTTTTATTTCACTCAATCGGAAATTAAACTTGCCTGAGTGGTAGCAGATGTGGGAAAGACGAGAATGTGAGTACACGTGACATCCTGTGGTGTAGATAATTGGCAGTTTACTGACGCTTGACTAAATCTTTCATCAGGTGTGAACTGATCAGCCATCAGTCTCAAAGTTGAATCTGGTTCTAGAGAAACCAAACAGGCGCTGAGAACGCAAGGTGCTGCCGACGGATAAAGTAAACTACATTGGCCACATATTTCTTTCAGATGCTTTGATGCCTTTAAGAGCGCCTTCCTAGATAGTAACCAGCTCCATCCTTTCAATTCGCCGTGTCCAATGCGTCCCACGCGGCCTACTACTAATCTCCAGGGTTGCACCTATACATAAGCAAATATTTTCAAGTTTTCATTTCCATTTTTCATTTCCATTTACAAAGAATATATAAATGTGCTTACGCCCTGAGACATCACGCTAAGAATAAAATCCATTAACTTCTGTAATCCGATTCGCCTGGCTGACGCCCGTTTTCTCCTTTTCCGATTGGGTATGTCAATGTTGATAGTGGCAGTCTCGAATATTTCGCCCCGGTCATCGGTCGCGACTGCTAGCAGCCACGACTGGTCCTCGCTGAGACAGTAGCTCAGATAAAGTACTGCGCATTCTTCTGGTCCAGCAATCCCAAAGGACTCGGGTGCCTCGCTCTTTGCCCGTAGTGGAGCCAGCACATAGGCAGGTGCGTACAACCGGTATGGTGCTCTGTTCCGTTCCTGATGTAGAGTTGCAAGAGTATTACTATAAGACTGAAAATGACCGAGTCACAGGTTGTTTATTTTTGCTATTCTCGTCGTATAAAACGGCACAAGCAACCGGGTGACTTAATGTAAAGAATCATTTGAACAAAAGAAGTAAAAGCTGAAGCCTTACATCTTTACTCTTAAGGAAAAGATCTGCAGCGGCAGCAGTACCAAAGCCAGTAAGACTTTTTACCGTAGAATTGTGATTTAACAATCGGCGACCCTGTAGAAAAACGTTCAACGCTAACGCTCTCATTTCATCCTGAATTTTTCGCCTTTCTCTAGCTCGCCCTAACTCCATTATACTTTCTAAGGATATTAACTGTAAATGAAAATGCGCCATGTTGTTAGGACACAATGTAAATTCAAAATTGAATGATAATGTATATGAAATTTTACCTGAACGTTTATGTTGGATCTAATATTTTCAGGCATACTATTCACCGCTGCTGAGTATGCCCGTAATAAAGCTAAAATTGCAAGTCTTCGGCGATCAGGATCTTCGGGGCCTCCTAGTGAGAAAGGTTCAACCAAATACACTACCACAGCCGGAGGCTCGACTTCCTCTTCATCTGGACCAGCAGAGTTGTTAGTGGGTATTGCGGCAGTTTGAGAAGTTGGTGTTGTATTACCAGTATTGGAATTTGAATTTGTTGCTGTGTTCGATGATGGAGTTTCACTTCTAGGATTTTCTCCTTCTAAAATATTGATTTTTAAATTATTCACTTTATAATTACTATTTATATTAACGAACATATTTCGAGGCAATGATACAACGAGGTAGCAGAATTAATAGCTACACAACAGTTACACAAGAGCAACAGCTACAGTAGAGTTAAGATATCTCGTCTAGTGGTGTGTAAAATAGCCTTTCTTTGAAATAGTTTCCCATTTCAAAGCTTTTGAAGTAGTGAATAGAAGTCTGATTCTAAGCAATCAATTATTTCGAACCCATAGAAGGAGTTTACATTTGTGATTCCATTAGAAATATTTAAGCGGATGTCTAATTAAAAAAGGAAGATGAACCCGGAATTTTGTCTACTCTTAGTTTTCGCCTTATATTGTCATGGAAAATTACTTCTTAACTTTTCTCCCATTTATTACAGAACGTTTTGTATAGTTACCCCCAAGAAAACATCTGACATTAAAACCTACCAACGGGTTCGGGTTTTGTCATTACGTCAGGAGTAGCCGGCATTGTGTCAGTAACAGGAACAGTTGTCTGCTGTTGTTGCTGTTGTTGTTGTTTGTTGGCTGTCTGCAAATCTCCAGGATCTAATAGACTTCGATCTTGTATAACCTGCGTTAAATACGGGGCTAATCGGTGGTTACAGACTTGAGCATATAACCGTAATAGTTCTCCTAATTGATTTTCTCCTAATAATTTAAACCAGTCATCTATCTGTAGTTTGGCTTGTTTTTGCACGGACGATTTACCAACTCGGAGAATACCATCACGAAGTGCTTTCGAAATAGGCGTATGTCTTCCCAGTCGACAGATCTGGAAGGATGTACCGTGTTACATATAAAAACAAAATAAATACATGTTGTAGTAGAATCCAATATTCACCTCGTACGTGGTCGATAGCTCACGGAAAAAGGACTTCACTTTATTGATGACGCAATCACTGTCCGGTGCTACCACTACATAGGCGACATCCCTGGGTCCGGCATACGGTTCCAGAAGCAGTTTTTCCCAGTAACTTAGGGCATACGGTGATAAAGATAACCAGTCTCGATCGTAGCCGACAACCAACGCGGGTATTGGTTGAGGTTCACAGCGATCGTCGGTTCCACGACCGGCTAAACGATGGAACTGTCTCCAGGTAAGAGGACCAGCGACAGTGTATGGTGCTTCCCACATTCGCGTGGTACATTTTTTTTGTACCGCGTCTTGCAGAAGCGGCTGCAGGGCTCTCATCATCCTAACGATATCACCGCTGCACTGAGGACCCTTTGCTCTAAGGAACACCCATCGATGTACACCGTTCACGCGATTAGTCCTTTCGTTGTGCGTACCGTCCATTTTACCCTGATCGAGAGCCGCTAGCGACACTTCATTTCCGTCGTTAAACTCCAACATGTTCACTGTAGGCGCGAGCATAGGGTAACTCTTCATTGACGCATAGATTCTAGATGCTCTGTACAGACTACTCGCGGAGCTTTGCACGATCAAACACTGTTCCCTTAGCAACTCCAACACGTTCGGTGGTATCACATCCAAGCCTTCACATGGTTTACCTCCACCACATGCCACGGCAACCAAAGATGCTTTCTTCTTTTCCGCAGGATCTTCTGCGATACCGGTAATCTCCATTTCGTCCTCGTAGAACAAACCTGCTCGATGGGCTAATCGTCGGTTCACTACCGCGCTAAACCCGCAACTACACCTAATTTGATCGTCATCTTGGAATAGAGCTCCTCCTGACCACGAATGTGTCAGGTAAACTCCTGCATCCGCACCTTTTATGTTGCCAACTACTTTTGGGCCTGCATTGCACACGCAGAGACTGCAACTGTCAAAGTTATGATCGCGGAAAATGTTCAGTGCAGTGTCGCCTAATAGGATGTTTACTATAAGAGAGTTCGATTCTGGAGCACGCGTAGGTCCCGGTGTATCTGCTTCAATACTATTCAGGTTTTTATTCAAATACGAAGAGGTTGTGGATGTTGCCGGGCTTGGTTGATCGTATGGTGGCGGCGGTGGCCTACCAGAAATGGTTGCCGAGCGATAGGGTGCTCCCAGTGGTGCTGGACTCGGTGGGCAAGGTTGTTGTTGAACCGAACCGGGTCTAGTAGGTGGAAGTGGTTTGTCTGAACTGTTGGGTGCTGGATTGCACTGCCAGGAAGGTCTGTATACGCAGTGCGATGGCAGTGTAACGGGTGGTAAAGACTGGCTGGGCAAATTCGTGAGAGGAGCATACTTGGAAGAACCAACCATCTTACAGATGGGTGTAGGCTTGAACACGTAGGACCAATCGTCGATTGGTTCTTCTTGGGGAGATCCCATGTTTGGATAGATGTCAGGGAGATGCCTGAGTGGTCGTTGAGGTACAGAAAGTTCCGTCTGGTCCATTAGGGGGTCGTTCAACTGACAAGGTGAAGCGACCGGATTATGCTCTAAGGATGGTGGTGTCGGGAACATTTTGGACAGTTCTTCTGGTCGTAGAACACCCACTCCACGGTTATTATGTCTATTATTGGCGTCCACTCTGGCTTCTTCGTGTAGTCCACCAGATCTGTTCGATTCCGGCGGAGTTTGTACTTGAAGCTGATTCAAATTCTGGCATATAAAAAGAAAGTTGTATGTAATTTACTATATTTACTATATTGAAACTTGAAAATAATACATACAGTTTCATCGCTAGAAGTATCAGGATCGGAGTTATCAAAGATTTGGTCTAAATCTTTGTAGGATGCTTGAAGACCTTCGCTGGTGAACAAAGATCCCGGTTTGGTAGGATCATCTCTTTGTCGTCTAAGTCCATCGACGCCTGCGCCATTTTCGTCACCTGTTGCGTCGAACTCGTAAGGATCTGTTCTTCTTCCAATGCAATCTCCCTGTTAAAAATCAAATATAATTTTGTAGAATGATTTACACATAATTATTAACATTTTGGGAGAAACCATTGATCACTTACAACATTCACATTTGGTTCCTGTTTTATTTCTAATTTTGGAGTCTGAGATTGAGAAACCTGGGAATTCATTGGTGGATACAAAGTATTGCTCCGCACATTGACTGGACTACTATTAGATTCCTTAAAACGTTTCACAGGATGATTGAGCCATGCTTCTTGCGTAGAGTAATCATAGAGCCAAGGTAATGACTGTTCATTTTCTAAATACATATCCTCACATTCTCTGGAGACTAAGACTGGTCGTTTTAAAGTTGGCCCAGGAGCTGGACTATGCACTTGATTATTGCATGCAGAGGAGGTTGACTTTGGACCTTGCGAAGGGGTTAATGGTGGGGCAGTGTTCGTATGACTGGGTGGTGGTTGAGGACTTAGAGTGGGCATCGTAGGCTCAGCAGGTGGAACAGAAGCTGGCTCGGAATGTGGAGTTGGAAGAGGTGAAGGTGCAGGGGAACCTGGTGAGCCAACAGATGGAACTGGTAGACAATCTCCTCCTGTCGGTGGTCCCCTTGAATAAGAGGGAGGTCCACCTGGTGGTGTACTTGGCGCCTCTGTTCTATTCAATATAGACCTGTTTAAATTAAAGATAAAATTATTTATTCAATTTCATTATTAAAATCTTAAAATTATCACCGTACTAGAAAATACAGGTGGAGATGTCATGATATCAAGTACCTTCTCACATATCGATAACATTTCTCAGCTATTTTACAGAATTTCTAAGCTAGCAAATGCCCCCACCCGTACTCACCAGTATAATGATTTTAATTTAATGAATAAAACTGATAATAATAAGCTGAAAAATGCTAAACAGAAAAAAGATGAGGACAAAAAGCGTAATATTCTACATTTACAGAGTACATGCTGATTCTATAATACCAAAATGATTCATGCAAGATATTCCCCTAGGCGTCTAAAACGTTATGATCTAAAGATCAAATCGGAAATTCTATATTATTAGAATTCATGAAGTTTAGAACTTTCGAAGCATAAATTACTTTTTATCAGGTACGCATACTTACTACAATATATTAATGAGCACATACGTGCAACAGATTCTACCGCTATAAATACGTATACAAAATGTTTATGTCAGCTGTGTCTCTCTAACAGCAATAAATAATAGACTTTATGTAATTCTTTACTCGCACATACTTTGTCAATGATTCCAAGTCCAAACGCAAAGCCACCCCCCTCCGAGAATGATAAAAAGAAGAAACTACACGATGATATTCGATTAATTAATGCGTTATACGTGCATTAAATTTAATTACTGCTATGCCAGTTAAATAGCGCAGCTTCCAAAAGCGATGTGAATTAAAGGATGACGTTATGGCATCATAACGATCACATGAAGTTGGCATTATTGCGGTGATTTATTAAGATATGAGAAAAATGGTTCTCCAGTTGATATCGGGGCAGAAATTACCCACCTGGGGGCATTAGCAGGGACAGAGGGACAAGCATCCCACTGGGTGGTAGAGCGTCGATGAAATGGTACGACCCTCCGTCCACCTTTATCTACTCTCTCCCTCTGAACCTGAGAGGAGGCCAGGCTCTTCCAACCCCCGGGGGTCGTATACCTGCAACCGATGTATTTAACATCTCGTTTTCTCCTACATTTATCTGTTTTGTTTTTTTTTATTATTCCAACATAGAGGATCCTGGAGCAAAAAGTTTCTTGTAATCTATAATCGCTAATCAATTACCAACTAGCACGAAACTTCATTTATATTTTTAGCCTTTGATTGTAATGTTTCGTCCCTTACAATAAGCTTACCAAAGTTCGTCAATAATTCGACACAAACACATCATATTTACAATGGCTATCAGTTTCATGCCTTTAATGTAATTTTATATTACCACGGACTTACCATGTATCTTTCGGAACAAATACGACTGTTCCTAACGGAAGTACTTTCTTTTTTATATAGGACAGTTCTGTTGTACGAAATAAAGTTCTAATTTGGAAGAATCAATCGCATTTGAGCCATCCTCAAAAAAACTAAGTTTACATGCACACGTTGCAACAGCCATTTAATTAAATTACTACTTATGTACTGAAACACTTGAGACCTACGTTTTGTATAATTGTGCTATAACATGCAGACAGAACCAATAATCATTGTGAATAATATTGTCTTAAACGTTATCAGATGAACATAGAATGCAATCGAAAGATTTACTGCTACGATGAGAATACATGTGCAAAGAAAATAATACTTTGGAATATAATAATTATAATGTAATAATAATAATGATAATAAACTAGTATATTCTCTATATAATACTATAATAACACAGGATCGTTTTCATTTCGATAGTGCTATTCTCAGTACTATTACTGCATTATTTTCTTATTTTCAAGTACATCTCCATACTCCCTTTACACGCAAATAATTATTCCAAAACATGTCATTCTTTCAACGGTACTTGAATGAAAGTACAATGCAGTAAAAGTAAATCGGGAAAGTTGTTGTGAATCACTACTCACTTTGAACAGGTACAGGAAGACTTTTGTGTTGGGTCAATGAAGCTCCAGGTTCCTTGTTCGATGGAAGATTCTGTTTTGGAAGCAGAGATCGGTGAACTCAAAGTACATTCTGCCCACACGCGTTCCGGTAGTTCTGTAGCTGCTCGTAATTCCTGTTGACCTAAGAGTGGATGTTCGCAGCTAGCAGGACTGCTCGGTGGAGAAAGAGGAGTGTCGGGTGGAGTATCGTCCATATCAGTGACCAGGACATAACAGGAAGGATATCGCATGCGTACACCTCCAACGAGTACTTCCACCAACGGTGGAAGTCCTGCTTCGATGTTGCTGCCATTGATTGGATAGAAGTGTTTCCATTCCTCAAGGAGTTGACTGTCTGTACGTCCCACTGGACCAGTTAAAGTGCCTGCTAGCCCATACGGAGCTAGAATCACTGTGTTAAAATAGGTACATGATTAATACTTGTGTATATAGCAAATCTTACAGAACGTATTACTTAAGACTCAAATTTGATCAACCTCCAATATCACGTGTTTGTGTACGTTGTTTTCTAGAATATTCTATTGAGTGCTCAATATTTTGAAAACTATGTCATATTGCATATTTGTACGATAATATAAATTATAAATTTATAAGGGGATATAACAAAATAAAAGAATCAAAAGTATCCTTGAACCATATTACATCAATTCTGGACTATTTAATAATTTCTCCGAAAAGAATATTTTACGCCATGTTTTGATCCTCTGTTTTGATAACAAGGATAGCTAAAAACAAAACTCAAACTATCAAGTTTTATTCTCGTTCTCGTGTGAAAAGTTTGTTTATTTTTAAACAAATTGTTTATGTTAAATTTATAAACATAATATTCTATAAACACATGATATGTCATATTATAAATATGATTTTGACACAATTAAAAAATGAAAAAGTATCTAATTAATAGAATAAAAATAACTTAGTCCTTGCACATATGTAACAATTCCACAGTTAAACACTTAACTGTTCAAGTTAATTTAAATTTCTTAATTCGCACACTGACCGTTTAAACATATTTTTCTAGAAACATAGAAGATATCGGTTCTTATCACGTTTAAATACAACGAATTCTATCAAAAATTACAAAAAGACATCACCTTTAAACTTCAGCAAGAAGTTTAAATTTTATACAATTTTTCAGCGTCTTTAATATTTTATAATTTTTGTACAACATTCGCAACTAAAAACATCGAAATCTTTGCGTAGGCATAAATTCTACAAACTAGAAAGAACAGAAGAAAACTTGATAAACCAAATAGTCCATGTCAAAGTGGAAAACTCGGTACGAAATGCTTCTTTCCTGTTGGACGGTCCTTTGTCAAGTTAACCTGGATCAAGAACACCTTTGACCTTGTTACTCCTTCTTACACCCTCCGAAGTGAATGCTTTACTGCATTATAATCTTATTTATCCTTCTCATACGTTATCCGTTATCACAAGTGAACTGAAATTTTGGTACCGCACGACCAGGCACTTACAGAATCGGGCAGCAAGTAATTAACACTAGATTTACGGAACGTATCAATTTTACGTATGTTGAATTTTACAAAAATTATTCGATAAATGTTTACGTAGATTCTCATTCATGCAATCACATGAATGTATATCCTAATTGTCTATTTCCAAGTCTCTAATTTCCAAGATCTATCTGAACAAACATCGGTTTCTCTAAGAACGATAGAATTGCATAATAAATGTCCGTAAACCTAATGCTAAACGAATATTTCGAAGAGCTACCTTTAACCCCAGACTGGGATGTCTGAGTACGTTGCAAACAAGCTCTGGTGAGATGCCGAACAGCGGGATGCTGCCTGACATCCACGCTAGCGCACACGGTGCTCTCCCCATGAACGAAGAACGCGAACGAGAATGACAGGTGACAACTGCAAAAGAAAAAATGGGGAAAAATGTAACTGTTAGCATGGTAGAGCAAAGGAGAACGGTAAAAAAAAGGCACGACTGAGAAGTATAACCGCAGGTTCTTACCTACTGCAACGGTGTTTCTCGAAGCCATCGTAAGGTTGCACGAACCACTTTCCTAAGCGAATAAAGTCACGTGACAGTAAGCACCGTTCGATCAAGTTATGCAGAGCCTTGAAAAGAAGTGACCGGCACTCGTACGATAATCCGCTTTCCCAAGAACCCTGTTCACTTTCTGCAATCACAATCGTGCGGGATTAGTCATTACAGGAACATGCCCAAAGTTATCGCGTACGATCGTTGCGTGTGTCGATTCAATGTTTCCGATGATACTTTCATCGCGAAGAATTCCCCTAGCGGAAACGCGACGTTTTTCAGCCAGTTTCCCGCGATCTACTTCCTCCGTCGAATCGAGGCGATGCTCCTTTCCATGAAAGTAACGCGATTTGCGAGCGACGCGATCGCGGCTAGCTGAAAAATCCAGTTCTATCCTCTGTCGTTCGATCGGTCGATCCTCTATTCCCTTTGTCCTTCCTCTCGCCCCACCCTCCTTTATTTCGTTCTTTTTATTTTTGATTATCTTGGGCATGCAACGTTTGATCGTCGTTGGTTAACGGTTCGCCGTTTTGTTTCGCGATCGGTGCGCACTTCTCGCGATGTACAATAAAGGATCTCCGCGTTGCAATGCACCGAGTTGCAGACAAGTACACGGTTCAGCGACCCCGTGCCAGAGAGAAACACGGTCTCGCCGGCGTTACCGCTTCGCTCGCTTCGCACACCTTCTTTCCTCGAAACGAAACCGCACGGAATTTTTTGCGACGATTTTCGAACCGATCCGACGCGGCCGGTTGCGGACCGGTACTATATTTTCTAGGGTCGGAACCCACTGCTATGCTCGATCGCGATTCTAACGGTCCACAATGGATGAGATCTCGGGTTTACTGGCCAAAAGTCTGTGATGCTCCAACGAGTGAAGATATGATCTATTGGTGATAATACAGTAGAACCCCGTATAACGCCGAATTTCCCACGGTACTTTCCTACAATACACCTCACTCTACGTAGAATAGCACAGAGTATTTTGAAAATTTGTGTTAAATTTTCAAATTTTCAAGTTTTCAAAAAAATTCCGCGTTAAAATTTCTTTTTTCGATACTGGTTTAACTTCTACCTTTGCTTGCATTATTTTCTTATGAAGAATATCACTTTTATAGTTATTTTTCAATAATCTTTTAACTGGTTCATAATATCCGATTGATGCAGAAATTCTGACGTTTTGTTATACGTGATTAATAAAAAAATTGTTTTTCTTCGAAACGAATATCTATCTTCAAATTATTGTAACGTGTCTAAAGAATATCTCTTCGTTTTTGCTTAGTTTTGGTTTAGCCAGTGAACAATTGAAAACTCTTCTTCTTGTTTCTTATAAACAAACGTCAAAACTTTTGTATCGATCCAATGGAATATTCGCTAGCAATACCACGAAAAAGTTTATGGTTATCTTATACATAATTACTCACGAATTAACACGTTGAATATCGTGACACCGGTGACTCTTAATCAAACCAAATTACTACAATTCACTCAATTAACACTATCCGTACCATCAGAAATACGGTTACATTTTGCTTATAAAGCGTACTGATGTTTGTAATAATATAGTAAGTGGTATTTAAGTTTTTAATAACTTTTATTTATTTTGATATCATTTCTGTAAGTTTTAGATATGCGCGGTTTTTTATTAGTATTTATATTTATTTATTCTTTCTTAAGAAACTTTTATGTTTATTATTAGTAGATATTTCATTTTCAATTAAACAAATGATTTCATTTTTTTAAGGACTCCGGAAAATTAATTTTTGACCACAGAAACATCGATACTTTTCCACTGTGCAGCCGTACAATGTTCTATAATCTACAATAATTTTCCGCTGTTTCTAAATCCTCTGTCGAAAGAGGTTCACGAACGAAAGCTTAACACTTTCACTGCTAGACCGGCCGCCGTGAAACTGTTACAGGGTTAAAATTCTGACTTCAACGTGTTGTCCGTCGTAAGAATTTTTTGCATATTGTATAGCATTACTTATTCTTTTATAGCGAAGGTAAATAGTATTAGAAATAATTATTATTAATTTGGCATCATAGTTCTTATGCTATACAGTTATCTACTTAGTTACGTCATTGAATATTATTTTGTTATTTGTTAAATATTGGACACCAGTCTTCTTGTAATTGTTTTTAGATAATTCGAAAACTCGGGTCATCGGTGATCATCATCATTCAACGTATTAATAGTCGAACAATGATGGTTCGATAAATTATGGCGCTGGGTCGATACTGATTCGTAATAAAGCTATGTATGAATTAAAAACTTATCTATTCTATCATATTCATACTAAGCACTTAAAATTTTTGTTTGCTTTTTTAGAAAATTTTATTTCTTTTTCTTTTTAAAGTAACAATATTAATTAACCCTTTGCATTCCAAAGTTTTTGTACTAGAAATATTCAACATTCTCCGATGAAATATAGACGATGCTCTTTGAAACTAATTAATCAGAAAACATACATAAATTAAGAAGGAAAGTTATTTTATTTTAATATTCCACATACTGATGCATTATACAAATCTTAATATTATATATAAAACTATAATTTTAATGTATCAAATCAAGTGGTAACTAAGAGTCACCTTTCGAGTACAAAGGGTTAATATATTTTGGCTGTAAGGTCACTGTTTCATTAACACTAGAAAACCACACTCGTCAATATGACGCAATTATTGATATTTTAATTCATATTTATATTATTAATACCTTACGAGTGCTAAATATCTGAAATAATTTCAAAAGTGGATAGTTTCACTTAAATACTACAATGAACAAATGGAAAAAGCGTAAGAAATCTATTCTTACAATTCTCATAGGGATCACATATTAATTACATTAAATGTTCAGTGGTTCTAGCGTTAAATAGTATGTCTTGATTCTTACAGAAGATGCTTCGGTAGTCAACGCATTACAACAAAACAACCAAAAAGAAATGTGCACGTAACCGGTATAACGAGTATGGGAGACAATTTTCAAAATGTGCACACTGTGCCAAGAAGGTTACAAGGTCGACTGCAAACCAGCAAGTGTTGCCGCGCGGGAGTAATACATCTCAAGCTACAAAATCTTGAAAAAACGTATGTTTGAAAAGAAAAAAATCTGCTCTTAACACTTAGACAATAGTCTAAAAAAACTATATTCTTAAATTATATATCCCTTGTTTCCTAGATAATAAAATAATGTAAGATATATCCATTGCCGGTCAAAAGTTTGAGTTGTTTGGTTACACTTGATGTGTAACGTCACAAATTAAAAATTATATACCTTATAAATATATAAAACAAAATAACAAAAATTATACATTTTTATATTTGATTAATACACATATGTCCATGTCCCTTTATTA